CTTCCGGATATCGGGTAAATTTTACTTTTTCCGTTTATTCGCATATAAAATGCAAAAGCTAATGCTATTTCTTCATTGTACATTGTTTTCGTGCAGAATTGGCACTTAATAAAAAGTCCAATCCCCATAAAGGGCATTAACCTTTGCTTATCGCTTTGATGGGCACTTGCTAGAGCGACGACTAGGAAAAGGGAAGTGCACGGGAGAAGGAGGCGTGCTAGAAACGAGATCGGCGCTTCGCTCAGGCCACTGGAACGGCGAAAAGAATCACCGCCTCAGTTGCGTGGATCATATCCGATATGACGGTCGTCGGCTTAAGCTAGGGCACCTGTTTTTTTTGTTGCGTTTCCGTGCACCGAAAAGGTGGCGAAGCCCCAGGTGGCTTTAGTGAAGAGGGCCTGCGTAAAAAAAAAAAAAAAAAAAAAAAAATTTATAAAAACTATATATATGTAAAACTATACACAAATGTGGGCCCTGCAAAAACAACAAAAAAAGTGCAACCGAGAGAACTAGGCATTTATTTTTTTTCTATTCTTTCGTCTTATATTCTTTTTTTTTGGGTCGTATACGGCCTTATACTTAAATTGATCTATATCCGATGTGAGCAAAGCAGCACGGCCGGGTGTGTAGAGAGGGAAAAAAAAGAAATAAGTGAAAACCAAAGAGAAAAAAAAGAAAAGAGAAGGCAACAAAAAAAAAAGGCAAAACAACAAATAAAAACCCCTTTGACTATACGTTTCGAAATAAAATTTTATTAAGCATGGCGACAAGTGAAGGTATGAAAAGTGCATGTTTTTAAAACCAAAATTTCAACATAAAATTTTACAAACAAATTAAAAATCATAATTAATGTGCATGTAAGCAGCAACGAGCCTATGCAGAGCGCCTCAACGGAAAGATCTTTCGACGTTGGACGACAACTGTAAGTAGAACCGTTTGAATTTTATTTACTTTCATGCAGAAGAGCACGCGTACAAAAACAAAAAAAAAAAATAAATAAAACACCTGTTCATATGCGTCATATGTCTGCCTGCTGGCCATGTAAAGTCTAATTTCCGCATTATTATTATTTTTTTTTAAATCACCGTAATAACGTTATACTTGATTGCGGTCATTACTTACTTAAATTTATGGCCAATCTTTACAAAAAAAAAAAAAAAGCGATGCAAGAATTTATAACACTTTAAATATCAACACTTTCTCTTACATCAAATTTTTTTCCTATTATATTACGATCCATTTCAATTATTAACCATCTCTTACAGCCAAGCCGTTGCTTTACTCACCTTGCTCAATTTATATTTACACTAGTATTTTAAGGCAGTCATATGTTTACCTATTCTGCTACTGGCTACGAATCCAGTGATAATTAGCTTTAGATTTCTATTATCGGTTAATGTACGGTCACTTTTTTTTGGAATTCCTTGAAAATTATGATTTTAGTTTTTAATAAAAAGTTTATAATGTTCGCTTAAATTCCGCCTAACATTGATTTCCGCTAGCCACAGCATGTAGAGGTTCAAAGGGGTCATTTGCCTAATTGTTTTTGGATATAAATGACCAAGGATGGGTGGGCCAATACTTCCTCAACACCATCAGGGGAATACCAGAGGTGTGTTCACTTGTGTTACGTGGTCTGCCAACCCGCGATCCTTTTGTTAGTCATATTCATGTATATCTTTACCGGTTTTTTTTTGGCTTCCCCACAGCACGCTTTAACTTTAAATAATAAGCTTAATGAAAGGCCGTATGATTGGAGAGACCTCGAACACCACCCACTAGCCGACGAGCCCGAGCCGGAACATATAGCGTGCGCTCTCCAACATACACACACCATCTCGCCTACTCTACTGGGATATGTCCTATACCCGTTACAGCTATAAAGTGTAACTACTATGTGATAATAAAGACTATCAATCATGGGCATATACATATAGTACGGATATCAATCATATTGTGAGAGAATTGAAAGCCAAATTTTTTGAAATGTGGCTTAATCAATTTGCTGACCTCGAGTCGACAGATTCAGAAAGTTCACAAAAACAGGCATATCTTGATACTATTTCGACTTTATGGCAAAGCAAAAAGGCAAAAATCTATTTTTGGCCCACAGTGCCATGCAAGCTTAGGCCACAAGGCAAGGGCAGTAGCAACAACAAGAACAATTCAAGACAAGCATTAAACAAGTGAAGCAGCAGCAGCAGCAGCAGCAGCAGCAGCAGCAGCAGCAGCAGCTTTGAAGCAACTTTTAAACAGAGACCGGCACTTCAAGCGCACCTTTTCAACTTATTTTTATTCTTTTGTCCCCCCTCCCGCCCGCTCCATCACACTCACGTACTACTGTTGTTGCATTTGATCTGTGGAAGTTTTTACCCTTTTTTATTCGCCGTAACTATTAGTTTGGCATTTTGTGCGTTAAGTTGGTATTTATTGCTTTCAGTGATGTCGGAATGTGCCCAACTGTCATGATGAGGAGTTGTGGCTGTCACCGCGACAGCAATAACAACAACACCAAGCAAGAACCGATCGAAGGGTCGACAATGTTAGCATTGTTTCACATAATTTGTAATAGCAATTAATAATGCAACAGCAACAGCAACAGCTATATATGGCTAGCATCTAGAAATTGAGCAATCGCCATTGGAATTGTCCGATCGATCGCCAGTTCCAGTTGTAGCAAGTCAGCAGTCGCTCTACCCCAAATTACACTAAAGAGACAAATATACAGACTAAGCCCAGACATATGCTGTTGTCATTTGTGGCCCAGACAGTAAACAATGCCTATGGGGAATACTTAAGCTGCACACAAAGGGAAAAGTGTGGCGACAATTCTTAGATAGATTGGACATGAATTGAAACCACTTTCTTATTTCAAATTTGTTTACAAAATATTAGCAAATTTTAAATGAATCTTGTACTTGCTATAACTTATTTGATTAATCATAGAATTAGCTCTGATTATGCCAAATTTGAAATTATTTCTTTACTAAAGATCAATCTCTCTAGCATTACTATTCAGAAAGATCATTGACTAAGCATTTCAGACTAAGCTATGAAATGAAAACTTTTCCGCTTTCTTTCTAAATATTAAACATGTTTCTATGTGTTTGAAAGATGTCTTCTGCATCTAACAAGAAAAATAGTTGGAAAATCGAAATCAAACATCGCTTTTTTTGCTTTTTGAAAACCAATTACAGCTGAATAATACGAACCTTTACAATCTGAGCAGGTAAGTGCAAAATCTTGCTATATGACCATTTATATACGAATTTTGCTTTCAGAGTAATGTGAAAGATATGTTTAACAAAGCAGGACAGTTTATTTCGGAACGCAGATGCTTCCTAAAACCAAATATAATCGATAAGTTATTGTTCCTTAACAAAAACATATTCTTGTAATTGACTGATCTCTTTAGAAGTGAAATATGTATTAGCTGTTATATCTATAAAATAAAATATGGTTTTAAAAAACATTTCAATCGTTAAGAAAAATGCTAAGCGTTTGATTTTGGAGGATCCTTCTGTTTTCTTAAATGCATAAAATATATCTCGAGCAAACTCCACTGTACTTATCCACGAAATCAGTCGTACTATTACATACATATACTATAGTATATGTTTGTAGATATGTTTTGCATCTGTCTTGTCTAGTCTAAAAATAGGTTGGAACTACCATGTGCCGTGTGCCATGTGCTGATGCTGATGCTGATGCATAAGCCTAGGAAGCAATCGAGACACGGTTGGTGTGTATGTGTGTGTGTGTGTGTGGGATTCTATACGTAAATATATATGTATATACTCGTATGTTTGTAGGTATGCATGGAAGCATTTTAAAACACCAGAACAGGCGACTATGGCCGAGTATTTGTGAACTGAAAACTGCCGTATCGAAAGTTCAAAAGTTGCTGCGCTCTATTGCAGTTGTCCCAAAAATTTTGCTGTCTATGGGAACACACATATCTACATACATACATACATACATATGTACATGTATATGCATTTATATGTGCATGCATGGGGGCAGACGAACACAAATAAACACGTGTAACTAATGCACCTACAACATTCAAAAGAAAAACAGACTAATAGATATGTTTTCTGGCCGTACAGTCAACGGGAAAATTTATTCATGTCGCGCCGTTGAAGCTTCAAACAGTTGTCAGCAGAAAACAACAGACAATAAATCTAATAACATGGGAACCTGGCGGTGATCCCAATATTTCGAAATCAGCCAAAAGGCCGCGCAATGGCATCTCAAGTGTCAGAAATATAGTCGGGAATTGGTACAGTTGAGCCTTTCTTAAATGAGTCAATCGTTAGCTGAAAAGTTTCAAGTCTCGCCATCTGGATGGAAAATCTTAGCTTTCTACTAAAAACTTCTACTAAAATATTGTAGCATTTTTATTTTTTTTTAATATTGTTTTAAGATAAAGTCAATTATTAACTTCTTCAGCCATGTCTGTTCCAAAACGCATTACAATTCCACCACCTTATATAATATTTATATATCAAGATAGGCTTTTTCATAATTTTAGAATGGATTTAATATTTCTGCGAGCTTTTGAAACGCAAACAAAGAAGTTAAGTTCAAAAAGTGCCCAAAACTGTAAAAAGTTTGATAATTCAATTTAAAATCTTGTTCTTGACGGAAAAGGCGAATTAGAAAGCCGGCTTCTAAAGGAGAAACATTGAACATCCTTTACAAAAAAGGGAGAGTTGTGGGAATATCACCACAGTCAGCAGCAATCAGTGCCCGAAATGCACATTGTCATGTAATACTATACTCGTATGTGGCCAAGACAGGAATTGCCTTAAGTTATGGATCGGTCAGGTCAGTTAAAAGGATTCACACGCACAGAGGGCTGATATCGAAACGCCCCCACAGATCAAGTTACTTGTGACATTCGGACCAAGGGGGAAAAGGTACATAAGTACCTTACGAGTATGGGTATGGGTATGGTTGGCCATCATCATCGTTCATTTAGGCCTCGACCCACTTACTTGTGCGACAGGGGGAGACCTCGTGGAACTGCTGGAAGTTGTGGGATGTGAAGCAGGTTCCGACCGGATCAAAGCGGAGCGCCGACGATGGACTCATCGAGTGGAAGACGTAACGTGGAGCGCATGCCTGAAAATAAACATTATGGAAATTATTTAACAATTCGAAACAATGGACACGCACAAGTATGTGCATTATAAGTACTATATACTATATCGTATGAACCTGTAGTATGCATGAATGTGTATTTATATTGTAGCGCTCATAGATGCTATAAAACAGCGAATGAAACGCACCAAAAATGGCTAAAACGAATTATATCGGCATGGCCATGGACATGTTTTCTCTTAGCCACAGTTGCCAGGCGATGCCAAGCCATGCCATGCCATGGGCCATGGGCCACGGGCCGTATGCCTCGCTCTTATAGTCTGGGTATATATATTTTTATAATGTATAAATGGCTGGCAGTTGGACATAAAACACACAACCCAACACAATACAGCGCCAGCCAACTTGCTGAGCATCGCGGCTCGGTCGCGGCCACACCAAATATGGTTGGCATGCAGTTGAGATGCCTGCCTTCCTGCCTGTCTTCTTGCCTTCCTGTCTGCCTTGCTGCTTGCCGATCTGCCAGGCTACCGATCTGCCAACTTGTGAAGTTATACGCACAATGGGCCTAACCCGCCGCAATGTTCCGCAATCAAACAAATAACAGCTTGCAATGAACCCGATTTGACAACAAAGTTCCATGAATTGCGAGAGTTTTATTTAAACGTCTCTGTTTTGAAAAAGAAGCATAAACCTCATTCGAAATCACCGATATCAGGCGATATTGCAGTGAAATGAAACCGATTTGAAAACAGAGTTCCATGAATTGCGAGAGTTTTATTTAAACGTCTCTGTTTTGGAAAAGAAGCATAAACCTTTTCCGAAATCATCGATATCAGGCGATATTGCAGTGAAATGAAACCGATTTGAAAACAAAGTTCCATGAATTGCGAGAGTTTTATTTAAACGTCTCTGTTTTGAAAAAGAAGCATAAACCTCATTCGAAATCACCGATATCAGGCGATATTGCAGTGAAATGAAACCGATTTGAAAACAAAGTTCCATGAATTGCGAGAGTTTTATTTAAACGTCTCTGTTTTGGAAAAGAAGCATAAACCTCATTCGAAATCACCGATATCAGGCGATATTGCAGTGAAATGAAACCGATTTGAAAACAAAGTTCCATGAATTGCGAGAGTTTTATTTAAACGTCTCTGTTTTGGAAAAGAAGCATAAACCTCATTCGAAATCACCGATATCAGGCGATATTGCAGTGAAATGAAACCGATTTGAAAACAAAGTTCCATGAATTGCGAGAGTTTTATTTAAACGTCTCTGTTTTGGAAAAGAAGCATAAACCTTTTCCGAAATCATCGATATCAGGCGATATTGCAGTGAAATGAAACCGATTTGAAAACAAAGTTCCATGAATTGCGAGAGTTTTATTTAAACGTCTCTGTTTTGAAAAAGAAGCATAAACCTCATTCGAAATCACCGATATCAGGCGATATTGCAGTGAAATGAAACCGATTTGAAAACAAAGTTCCATGAATTGCGAGAGTTTTATTTAAACGTCTCTGTTTTGAAAAAGAAGCATAAACCTCATTCGAAATCACCGATATCAGGCGATCTTGCAGACCGGGTTGCGTGACTCTAGCTTTTATTTTTGCAGAGATTCTTGCGATTATACGGATCAACTCGTCTTGTCATGCTGGTGAATAATCAAAAAATCCTGTTGCAACATTATGAAAAAAGTATTTTAAATAACGTTCATTTATTATAAATATTGGATCTTTTGTTTTAGGGCCTCAAAACCTAAAGCTAAAATATTCCTTCCAATCAGCGCCCTCCACTAGACTTATTAATACTTTATTTGCATGTTTTGTTATTTTACAACTAAGGTTTTCAATATTCAGGTGTTTAGCAAGAAATACGAAAGAATATTTTAAAAGGTGAGCAGTTGAGATCGAATACAGTTCAGTGAAAATCATCCGTGTTAAGGCATTATTTTTTATTTTTTTTATTTTTTTATTTTATTCATAATATCAACAATACTACTGTCGATTATATAAAATCCTTTTAAATTTATTGTTGTTCTTTTTATTTTTTATTAACTAACTATTAACTAACTATTAACTAATAAATTTATGATGTTTCCGATTGCTTATGCAAATCAAAGCAAAGCATTATATATATAATATATTCATAATACTACGATTACTATATATAAATTACAAAATTCGTAATCTAATTTTTATCTGCGAATGTTTAACTTTTATTTAGAAAGTGAACTCAGCTGTTTCAGTTGGGATTTAACAAAGAAGAGATTTTCAAAACCGAAATGTCGTGTGAACTTCAAAATAAGCATAGATCTCTGCTGTGCTTCTATAGTCAGAGAATTTGTGCCCATTTCGCGTTCAATCTATCCAAGAAGGCAGTGAGCTATGACGACATACAAGTAGTACTTGATTAAGATTTAAATTTTGTGGTCTACTAGTACTTTACAAATTGAATGAAATAGACGTCTTTCCTTTATTCTATAGTTTTATAGTATGTGTAAATATATGATTTGTTTATTGTCCTTTTTGTGCGTGTCAGCAATGGAGGGTATTTAAAAATGTATTTATTTTATTCAGGAAACTAGCTAACCATCTACATGTCTCTTGTGGAACTGTAGCTCCACTGTGCGTTGCCTGTAAACAGTGCACTGCATTGTTTGATGGTCGCACATATGCCTGCAATTATTTTTACAAATTTATACATATTGTGCCTTTTATGGAATCCCAGTGCCACGACCGCAGCTATTGACTTGCCACAGGAAAATTGCCGCCGCACCGCTGACATAAACTCAAAATGACGCGCTATCGCCAAAAATGCATGCTGATCATCGCCCTCCCTCCACATCCACATCCCGCTCTCGGTATCTAGCACCGTACACTCTGAAAGTTTTCATTCAAATGCCTTGCGACAGGAGAAGAGACCACAAAGATGCTGATACTGATGATGATGATGATGACGATGACGACGGCTACTGCTGGCAGACCATTGAATCACAAATCTATGTGATGGAGCGACGGCCATAGAGTCGGACGTACATATTATGCAAGAGACTTCAATCCAAAAAAAAAAAAAAAAAAAAATACAAAATATCCCAACCAAATCACAGAGCCTGCCATCTTGGGCCATCCCGCTTCGGACTCCAGTGTTCCAATAAATGCGAGCGCTTCAGGTGTACCGTTTTTGGGCAGCTCGATGGCCCGAACAATAAAATAAAAATAAAGACAATCAGCTCGCCGCAAGGCAAACTGCGACGAAGAATGGAAGAATGGATGGCAAGCCAGCGTCGACCACAGCCATGAACAATTCAATTGAATTCAATGGACAATGTTCGGGAAACGTCCTCGTGCAGCGCTACAGTAAGCCGGCCGTCCTCTTTTGTACATTTGTCCGCCAGCCCACCAGTGGGTAATAAGTTAATAGCATTTTCCTATTAAAAACTTTATTATCAGCGCGTCGACGATGTCGAGCCAAGAGTTTGAGTGCGGCTAAAAATTTTAGTTGGTTTCGCGGTAAGATCGTTAGATATGCAGATGCAATTGATGCAGTGGCCGGAGCAATTGCTGCACCCAAATCTGGCTGACCACAAATAATATTACATGGAATTTATTGATGCGGCCCTCCGTTGGGCGCCATTAAGTTGCTATAATAATGAAAAAATTAACTACGATCTGGCGGTGTCATAATCTGGGCTAGGTTGCCAAAGACATAACATTTTTTATGAATACATGTTTCTAAAATTGCAGTGTAAAAATGGCGCCCAAAGTGGGGCAGGTAAATAAGATGACCAAATACTCGTAGATGCATGCACAATTTGGGTTTGAAATGCTTAACAAAAACATCGACTTTCTGACTATAAACATCTGTTGCCTTTGCGAGTTAAATGTCTGATCTAAAGGCTGTTGACTACTCTAAATATACATCTGCATAAATCCGGACAGCCCAGATGGAACAGTACATACTACAAGTATATACTGTAAGTATAGTATGTGCTTCATGAGAACTTGAGTTGTGAATATTTTCCCAACCATTCGGTAGGGCCCCAACTGGGTAACAGGCTCTTAGCGTTATTGTTATTGTAGCTGTGTTGTCGTCTGACTTTATTTTTGCTTTATTTATACGCTATTCGGCTTTTACCAAATTGTTTCTTCGTGCTCGAGTTTGGTTTAACGTTTTCTTAAAGCCGCTTGCTGGCAACATTTTTAAATGATTTTTTTTCTTCTTTTAAAGTGTGCTGTTGTTGTTGTTTTGTGTGGTTTATTGCCATGTTTGGCACATTGCATACCGAAATGCCAACGATAAATTTTTTAGACATTAAACTGCACTTTCGCAGACGCCGCCGCAGCCGCCGCTGCCGTCGTTCGTTGGCGATGTTGTCGTCGTTGCGGCTGCTGCGGCTGCTGCAACAGCAACAACAACAGCAACTACAACAAAAGTCAAAAGTCAACACGTTTGACATGGTCGACATGCAGACGTTTCCATTGCAAATGCAAAAGTTCTGGCTGCGACTCGAATCTGACTCTGACTCTGACTTCGGCCTCAACTCTTTCCATATTTGCGTTCAATAGCGAAACAATTTCACAGATCGTGTCGATGATCATGTCGCAATCGAGGCAACGCAGTAACACACGAAAAAATACAACAACAAATAAGATTTAATATTATTCGGAGCTTCGTTAAACATATAATACTCTATATAAAAATGTATGTAAAGCCATGGCCTATCAAATTCTATTAAACATCATATGCCAAAAAAAAAACCAAAAAGCAATTGTAGATTTTCAATTTAAATCAGGAAAAAACTAAATTTGTACTTTGATGGATGGATAGATTGAGGACTTCAATATTCTGATGCTTTTTATAAATCCCTTTATTCAATTCACTTAGAAGCATAAGGTTTCAACCCAATATTCAATTTGCTACACTCAAAATAGTGACTCAGTAGCTATAGAGACTAAATTTTTTAAAGTAGAATATTAGCTAACAATAAAAAGTGTCCATGTTCTCCCTATTTCTTCAAAAAAAATTGTCCCTTTAAAATGAATATGAATAAACATTTCTTACAAAATAATTACCTTTTTATTTTGAAGTCATTTCAGCTCTTTTGTTTTTTAAAGAAAGTTATATCCCCATGTTAAGAGAATGTTGTTGTATTTAAAGAATACAGTTACAAGTTATTGTTGAAAATGTGTATATTTTTAAGAAACTAACTCATTTTTAAAATACATTTTTTTAACACCGATATATGAGAAACAAATATTGAATTGTTTTTAATTAGATCTTTCAGTACTAGTACAAGTACTTTTTTCTTTTAGATTCCATTCTTGTGATGATTATTTGATGGCCAAAAGGTTGTTTTCCAAGTTCCAAGTTCTGATTAAACATATCTCTTAAAAATTATTTAGAAAATAGGATTATATTACATTAATAAGCTACTTAACGATGTTCATCGATCAAATTATTTACTTTATTTTTGCAAATTCTGATCAAACAAATCTTTACTATATGTAGATGAATCGCAATCGTTGACCTGCTTTTGTAATTGAATGAATTGATATTCATCATAATTATTGAAAAAGGTCCAGGAATTATGGGAGCTACGTTGAATTACGATGACTGTCCTATCTTTTCACACATGCGGCTCATTCATGGTGGTACTTATCTACAATAAGCTGAATAATATGTTCATAGTCCCCCGGAGCTTTTGTGCAGGGTATAATAAAGTGAAAAAAGAGCTCACGACATGCGGCACATGCCTATACCCATGCCTATGTCCAGGGCCAAGCCTCTTGCAACGTGATTTCAGCTGTCCTAGTCCATGGTCCATATTCCGTGAGCCGTAGTACGTGGTGCGTGGTGCATGGGTCCCTGATCCATGGTCCGTTGGGCCGTTGAGCCGTTGTTCCTTCAATGGGATCACAATGATGTCACCTTTGCTCTGAGCTGATGTTGATTGCCAGCGCGCGCAATTTTATGGCACGATCAACTTTATGGAATGACCATAGCATAGTTTGAATATTTATTTATTTGTGCTTAGCCACATACTATATTTTTTGGCAATGCTGATTTACTCCAGTTGGGTCGCTGGCCAACCCTCGACAGAACAAAGTTGATGGCGTTCCCAGATAATGAGAGCGGTGATGTAGTCGCAACGCACTTGGCGCTAAAATAAATCGATGGCTTTTAATGGCCGGTCAGTTGGTAGGTCGGTCGCGTTTTTGAAGGCCAACAGAGCAGGTTTAATAAACGGGCCACACACACACACACAGAAACACACACACAATGACGTGCAACGGAAGTGCCCAAGACATGGCCAACAAAAGGGCCATCAATGCGTTTAACGGTTTTCTTGCAGGTCAACATCAAATGGGCCAAATCAAAGTTAATTGAGAACTAAAGTGAAAATCAAATGTTATGGTCGCCTCGGTTGGGTGGGCTCCCTCGTGCTCGATAATCGAATGGTGTCTTGTTTGGTGTCTCGATGCCCCGGGCCGCCAACGCAATTAACAAAAGCAGCTCCAATGAATGAGTGAATGAATGAATGAACCAATGACTCGACTATGTGGCGCACCTCAAAAGCGACCACGCTGGCATATTTCTGTTGCAATGAGTGTATACGAGTGTGTATGTGTGTGTGTGGCTTACTTTAAGCAATCTGAACCAACACAAGGTATAAGCACAACCGCAAGAACAATAGTTACAAATAATAATAATAATAATAATAATACCAGCAATGCAAACTGTGACAAAAGTTGACAAAACACAAAATCAAAACAGAAATGTTGTACGAGAGTTTACTCTTTAAATAAAAAAGTGTATTTACATGTTCTCTCAACTTAGATTAAAGATATGGCACATCATTTCGTCACTAGACAGATCATGTGTTTGCAAGGGAAACTGAATTCGCATCAAGCATAGTTATGGATATAACAATTCAAAGACATTTCATTAGCTCCTTGAAGCTAATTTTCTTCCTCGAAAGTCAGCACCACAACCTGAAGATAATCCTGATTCCAAAATTTGGTTCATTTCACACACAATTATTATCTAAAATTTGTGCTATAATCTAATCTTCCTTGGAAAGCTGTACACTTCTTTTCTTCTTCATATTTTGCTTTTGTTTCTAGTTAATAATTGTTTAAATTGTTTTTCAAGTTTCTGCCTTGAAATCAGTAATACAATATTTAATATTTAAATTAATCGAGATTTTAAATCTTCACAGTTCGTAAAGAAAGGTTCAATTATGAAAGCGAGATATAGCATGTTCCAAGAATGAATTAAATATAATATACGAGTATATCATCCTCTGCTGTTGAAAATGTTTTGATTCAAGTAATTGTATTCCCAATTTTTAATTTATAAGTTACATGTCATTTGATAATTCCGACTACGACGGCTATAAATGTTTCAAGAATTTTTAGAATCCTGTTATGTTGGAAAGGTTTTTGGAGAAATATTTTAAACTGATATTGATAATAGTTGTGGTGAGAACTGAACCACTGATTGAACAATATTTTATATTACTTTCAATAAGGTTTATCTAATTAACAGTTTTGATTCCCCCTTTTCTTAAAATTTGTACTTTGTACCCCCAATTAGTTAGTGCAAAGGCGTAGAAGAGCATGAATATAATTTTCTGTACTTCAGGCAGAAAGAATCTCGATAGTTTTGTTAATTCTTTTATTCTTGAAAAAATCAAACATTGAATAGCTCCCTGCAATTTGGAAAAACTCTATTTCATTTCATAAAAAAATAGAGCCTGGATATGTAAAGCTTTTCTTTGTAAGAAAACAAGTTTCAGAAAAGTTGACGAAAATGCATTTTCAAAGAGCATGCAAATGTCGATGTGTGAGACTTGGATTTCATTGCAGCTGCCACCCACACACACACACACACACATACTCTAACGGCAATGCACACCCACCGCAGTCGCACACACACATGCACACAAAGCCGCACAAGACATTAAAAAAATGCAGCGCAGTGTGGCGCGTTGTAATAAAAATGTCATTTTGATTTTTCTTTCAGTTTCAGTTGCGCCGTTAGTTTCGACGGGCGCCCACCTGTTTTTTTTTTTTTTTTTTTTTTTTTTTGTTTATTTTATTGTGTGTTACTCTCCTTGCTACGCATTGATTGCACTTTCATGTGGACGGCGCCCAACCTCGCCCGCTCTTCCCCCTGCTGCTGCCAACATCGACTGCCATCCAACGAGGTCTTGCGCTATTTTTTTTTTCTTGTTTGGTTTTTTCTTACCTTTTTTTTTGATGATGCCATCAACGCACATTAAAGTCAGTCAGTCGGACGGACAGACAAACAGACAGACAGACTGGGAGATAGAGGACAGGAGACGTAACGACTGAGAGGTAGTAAGGAAGTTAGTCAGTCAGTGGGTCGAAACTAGTTCATGGCGCTGAAAATGAAAGTCCATTTGGCATTATAGAGCTGTTAATGTTGGTTTTTTATAGTGGATTTGGATTTGGGGTGGCATTGCCCACGTGAATGCAAGGTAATTGCTTTTCCCACAGAGATGAAGAGTGTACAGTTGAGGGGGAGGTGATGGTGCCACCTAATTCTGATGACATTCATCTTATGGCAGCTTAAAGGTGTGGGCAGGTCTCGAAAACCTTGCACTACTTCCATTCCTTCATTTTCTGTTTAAGATATTGCAATATTGTAAAGCTCTAATCGATTTAACCAATCCTCTCAATTCATTTCTTCTTTTTAATGCAATTTTTGGGAATTTGCTGATAGCCCCATAATTCGAAATTCAAATTAATATAAAAGTAATTATATACTCATCGAAAGATGATGATTTGTCGGCTGAGTAGAGAGCGTACCATTTCATCCTTTGGTAGTTTTTCCATTTTGTAATTATTTTGTTTATGGACTTCATTACATTAAATATTTATTATGGTGTTGAAGATATGTAATATTTGTAGAAGATAGGTCTAGAGCGGTTGGTGGTTTTAGAATAATCTCTCTTCTGGACTCCTTGTATACTGGTAGATATTTATTTCTAATTTATATAATTTATAGTTTATTTGTTTTGTACATTACATATTTTCATGCAATATAAAACTAAATTTTTCCCCTCTTTTAAAGTATACCTAACTACATATTTTGTTTATTGGTCGAATTTTAACTGTTCTGCGTTTTTTATATTTGTATTTATTATTTTACTCTTACACACTTAAATAAGTTGTTCAAATTATTTGATTTATAAACATTTTTTTAAAGGTAATTATGATCCTTTTCCGATTAAAAAAAGATATATTTTCGAAATGAAAATAATTTAAAATCGATTCGATCTCTCTGCGTTTTTTATATTTGTATTTAATATTTTACTCTTAGACACATAAATATGTTTTTATTATTATTATTAAATTATTTGATTTATAAGCAATTTTTTAACGGTAATTATGATCCTTTTCCGATTGAAAAAAGATATATTTTCGAAATGAGAATAATTTAAAATCGATTCGATCTGAAGAAGAATTGCAGTGGCATCGTTTTACTTTTCAAACACAATCTGAGAATTCGGAGAAATTCTGATTTTGTATCCTTTATATGCCTTTAAATACTTTAATTTTTACTTAGCTCTACCTATATATACTGAGTACAGTCTACTCACCACAACTAAGTCATTATCGCGTCCTGTGGCCACAGTAGCGCCCAGCCATTGGTAGGACTTTCGATCGATAATCTCTCCCTTCTCGTTGCGATTGTTACCTGCGGATAGTAAACAAATTCGTTAAGTAAAAATGTACATAACATTAAAAATCAAGAAATGACACCATTTTTTCCTGGTGAAAGAATAAAGCTTGTGTATTTGGAGCATATATGTACATATATATATATAGGGAGAGGGTGTTGTACGGAACACTATAAAATCAGATGTAAAAAAAAAAAACTATGCTATAAATTTGTAAGCGCGGCGACTGTTTTATGTCCAGACATTAAAGACATTATAAAGAAAATGAAAGAAGAGAATACTAAAAATGTGGACGGGAAATAAACAATTTAGTGAAATTAATATTTTGGCAGCATAAGAAGTAAAGCGTGTGTCGCTGATGGGGAAGGTGGGGGAATGCGAAGAGGTGGTTGGAGGTATGCAAGAAAAAGCAAACTAATTAGGTTGCTCTGAAACAAAACACTTGATGGTAAATGGTAAATTGTAAATGGTGACTGGTGAATGGGCGCTTCCGCTTTAAATGATTTATGGCATTATGTGCTGGAGCTGGAGCTGGAGCACAAAAGACAGACAATTTATGCCTATAAAAATACTTATATAAAGACATCAGTATATACAGAAAATATATGTTACAGACCGTAACGATGCACAGCAATGAAATGATCATTTGTGTACAGTCGATAAATATTATTTTCTCTTAAAGAGATCCCAGAAAGAAAAACAAAAAGTTAGCTTTAAACTAAACAAAGCTGAAGCAAGCTTCAACAAGTGTTGAAAAATCATTGTATGTATATAGAACAATGTTTAAAAGAAATTAAAGTAGTATGTATTTACAATCAATGAACTCTCATTGAAATCTCAGAAAGAAAAACAAAAAGCTAGCTTAAAACTAAACAAAGCTGAACAAAACAAAAGCAAGCTTCTACAAGTGTTGTAAAATTATTGTATGTACATTGAACAATGTTGAAAAGCAATTAATGTAGCATTTACAATCAAAAGGCGTGCAAAAATATTTTGAAATGTTTAGATAAAATGAATCAAGTTTTTTATTACGATATTTCCATTTTTAAATATTTTAATATCTTTTTTAATACCACACTGTGCCTGAGCTAATATAATTATTTGATGATATCATATCATTGTCGAACATTTTGTGAACTCTTGTGTATCTATGAGTTGTGGTGTAAATAGTGATTCATTTTACTCAATGAATTAATTTCTGAAAAGCAATACTGCATCATGATAAATGTATACAGTATGTGTATAAATAAATATGATACGTAAGCAATGAGTAACAATAGAGTTGATGAGAAGCTAGGGGCAGATGTTTATGAATCACAAACTTCACATTTAGATTTCACATTTGTGTATTAACATATTTGGTGCTGGAGCCACGTTCTGATTGGGTGATTGGGTGTCAGTGTCGAAGAGAATAGACAAACCTGCTAGCTTGATAAAACACCTGTTCATTCCTTTGATTATAAGTTTGTTTTGTTTTTTTTTTTTTAATTTCAATTCCGTTTTGAAAGCATAACATTAAAGATCAAATCAGATGGGTTAGCGTTTCGTTGTGTTAAAGGTTTGGCAAACACTTAGATAAATATTTAAGCACACCCACACCCGACACACGAGAAAAAAAATTGATACATTCAACCACATTCAACCAACCATGGGCATTCAACTTTGGGCAACACCCTGTAAATGAGGCTGGCGCTGCAGTAAATCCTTTTTTGGACGGGCCATCGATGAGGCACGCGTCCGCGATCGAAGGTGTTGGCAATTGTCGGGTGTTTTTTTTTTCTCTCTTTTTTTTTTGTTTGTTTGTTTATACAGTCAATATACATAGAAGAAGAAGAAGAAAAAGCGGCGGCAGCAGCAGCACCGACTGTTGAAAATTAAATTGCATATTTATGGCATCTGCGCTTTCGACAAGTTGTCAGCTGAAGTCCGGGAAGGACCATTAGGAGGGAGAACGTTTAGTTCTCAGTCAGACAAGCGACGCCACTGCCATTTGCATCATGCGGGCCCCGATGCAGAGAGGGGCGAGCCAACGGCAACGGCTGCTGACTCTGCCTCAATTGTTTAGCTGAGGGAGCGTCGCACGCACTTTATGGCAGAAATATGCAAACGGCCACAAACACAGCACGCTCGTGCGACTGCCACCAATGCCTCTATTAGAGATGGACACGTGAGCCAAGATTTCGGCGCGCTTGCGCCTCAATTTCTACGAGCTTATGGAAATGGCATTCCCTAGAGAATGTGTTTCTATGTTTTCAAAACTAATTTTCAACAAAATTATAAATCAGGCTCACAAAACGATTCATTAATTTCTAAGACTACTTATACATATAAGAAGAGCATGCCATAGAAAGTTTTGAAATATTGCTACGATTTATATCTATGTATACATATATCATATTGAAAGTAATTCTTACAAGTCTACAAGAGTTTATAAAAAATTGTGGAGAGCATGCCATAGAAAGTTCTTAAATGTTGCTACGATTTGTATCTATCTACCTATCTATCTTTCTATCGATCTACCGTTATCGGCTTGCGTTGTTGCGCCACTGAATTGTAGTGCTTTTTCATCTTTCCGACGTCACATCTTTCCCAATACGTCCTCGCTTTTTATGGCTTCGGTTACGTGCTTGATTGGGTACCCACTGTCGTCCACCTTTCGTCGTCTGTACAAAGGACGTCCATTGGTGTTTCTTGGATCAGATGTGGATGCCCTTTCGCGCATTTATATTCTTGCTCCGTTTCTATGGCTCTAGACGTAGATGCCCTTTCGCAAAGATCTTGCAAGCGTTATTCGCATCCATCTGCATTTTCAGCTGCATTTTTTTTAAATTCGATTTTACAATTTTATTTATTTACGAATGAAATACTGATGCGGCTTCTGTAAAGGAGATTTGGCTACGTTTGTACTCTATATTTACGCCGCTCTGTACTATATACATATGCGTTTTTAAGAGTCTATCTGATCCTTCAATGGCTTTTCGCTCACATCGTAGCCATGGCTACAGCTTCTTCTAACATATACATATGTACTCGTATATGTAAATGCCTTTCACTATATTCGCTCTCCCAATCACGTGGGCTGACCATCTCTAACTAGTGCCGCCTTTTCAGCAACTTCCTTCAACTCCATTCCACTCCACCATTTCCATTCGAGGATTGACGCTCGCCGATCTTCGCTTTTCATTCGACGTTCGACGTCACGCTTTGGCCAAAGCGAATAATTTTTATGTGCGCATCCGTTGCTGCAAATCGTGCGCGGCTTGCGCGCGGCTGCGTTAAAGGGACCTTGAAAAAGGGGGCGGGCGCGCAGTGCGGGCTGGCCAGAGTGGTCGGAGCTACTACCGCTTTTGTTGTTTGCTTGTTAGGCTGTGGCTTCTCATTATTTTCAGCACATGCTCATACACTTACGAGTAAGTACATATGTATGTATATTTATAAATATGTGAACAAACGCACGCCTCAAAGCCCATTCCCCTCCACCCTCTGACTGGCAACAACTACCCTGTCCTGTTGGTAGCGATGGTGTGTTTATAATTTCCGTTTGTACTAAGGAAGTTTAATATAAAGACCAAGACGACAGCGATTTTAGCCACAACAATAGCAACAGCAACCGCTACAGTAAGAAATGGCGAATGTTCAGTGACGACGCTGCGCGACTCGCGCGCGTTTTTAATCGCGCCAAATATAACGCATTTCGCATGCCAAACGATGCGCATGCGTGTAAGCCATAAATAACTAATTGCAAGCTTGTTGCCTACACATGTGTCTATTATTATGGGACTGGCGCCAATTTATTTAACAGGTATTGTTATAGCCAGCGGCCAATGTCGTCGGCAGCGTTTGTCCCATAAGTTATTGGTAGAGGGCTTCCAGACTAGCCCCCATTATATATAACTTCTCTCCCAGAAGACTGCCGACCAACACTGCAATGAAGCCAGTCTTGTATGGGAATATTTTATGATACAAACTCCTATAGATAGATAGTTGATGGCATTTCCATTTCCTTTTCCACTTTTTTTCTGTTACAAATCTTTTTCTAATATTTTATGGCACTTTCTCCTGAAATGCTGGCTTTAAAAACTTAGCCATGTTGCTTTCAAATTACGTACTGTTTGCTAAAAAAAAACTGCATTAATGTGGATTATTAAGAATTTAGAACACAGCTACATTATGTCTTTTAATATTTTGTAAAGAAAGAGCTTGTTACCTTATCTATTTAAATTTTCAAAATTGTGTAGAAATTGATAGTCATTGGAAATATAACACAATTGGAGTTCAGCTACGCCAGGCTTAAAACATGCATTTATAAACTAAACTGAAGAACAAAGAATGTATATAAACAAATTTTTTTTCTAGCAATTGTATTATTTTTGACGCTAAAATTTGTTAACCAGTACCAAAATAATGTGCATTTTTGGGGAATTGTTCTTTTTAAGGTTTAGCTCGTTCAGGTTTACAAAATTCTTGATCTTAGATTCTTCTAATTATAAGCTACTTCACATCATATCGAGTTTGGAATGAAAAGTCTAATATATTGGAGGGGGATTTGTGGTGAGATTTCAGAACCCAAAATTATTAATATGTTTGTGGAATATAGAAATGTTTTATCCACAATTTCGCCTTTCTCTACTCGTAATGAGTATGCTCTAAAATCGACCTAATAACAACATTAAAATGATTATATTCAACTAGATAGATTATTATGGGCTTTTTTTAAGTGATTTTAATTGGGTATTGTATTGGGAATTGTATTTTGCGATCCCTAACCGCGAATGACAGTTTTTTGCAAAGAGGGCTGTTCTTAGCTTGATTTGATTTTTCTGTCTCTTGTACTCACCTTTTGAATCAAAAGTAACCAGCTTACACTCGTCATCGTTCATGCTGCATCTGAAGACGGCGCCCGCCTCCTTAACACCCTGCTGGTAACTGGATGTATCAAATTTGGGAGCACCAACGACGAGTCTGCAAAGAAACAGAAGAAAGACGTTGAGGTATAGTAGGTGTTTGAGACATAAACGCGGTGCATAAATTAGAATTAATTAAGTCGGCCAGTAGCGTAATTGGAGACGTTTTAAAGGTAGGTTAAGATTGGAAACCCGAGCTACCAGCAGCATCGCGTGCTGAGTGCTGATCGTCGGCGGGTGGTGGTGGCATTGCACCCTAGACGAGACACTCTCTTTCAATCTATCCCTCGCTCTTTAAACACTACATTGTTGTTGCAATTGTTGTTGTTGTAGAGTAGTTCATCATGCCATGAACATTGACAGCTGTCATTAGCATTCATTGCGGAAGCGGCAAAAACCATTGAAGGCATTGAGTTGTGGCTGTTAGGGTGCATCAGCCAGACCCCGGGCAGCGGCAAATGGATCTTAATTAAAATTGAAAATAATAAAAATGAAAATACATAAATAAAGCAACAACAGCAATGGCAACAACCACTGTGGCCGCAATGCCAAATCAAACACTTCAGAGTTGATTAAAAATGAAAATGCCGCCCTTGCTCTCGCTCTCGTTCTCGCACTCCACTCCACTCCACTACACTCCTCTCCACCCCCACAGCTGATTCCGATAACCGACTCTTTTTATCTGCACCCACATGCAACAATTTGACGCTTGGCTAGAGCAAAAACTGCACAGATGCGTGCCACATCCACATCCACATCGGGAAAGTTGAGCGGCAGTTGCTAACAATGTCGGCCTTGTGAATGAGGTCGACTATAGTGGCAAAAAAGACAAGACGAGAGTACGAAACGGAATTGTTATGGGATGGTTGCAAAAAAAAAAAAAAAAAACAAGTAATACTCGTACAGAGTAATAATAAAAACATTTCAAGTGCCAATAGAAAACAAACTTCAATTTAATGGTCGCATCCAATCATCTTGCAAAGAAAATTTCAAATAGCATGCTGGCATACAGATGTTTGAAACAAGAATAAAATATTTCAAAAATTAATTTTGAACCAAGGGAAGGAAGCCTTAGATTTAATTTTGTTACTGGATTAGGTCTCAGTTAATTCTCAAATTGTGTGCTCGTGTTAAGCTTTGAATAAAGATTTGAGTACAAAATGTAAATGAGCACAATTTAGCAAGGGTGTAAGTTAGAAGGACCGCTAATGCAAGGATATCCTCAAGACATAGAAAAACTCAGGCATTTAGTTAAGCACCCCTGAAGTCCAGTGAGGAAATAGGTAATTAATAGTTTATATATCTTACTTCAATTTACTTCTGCGAATAAGCCTCAATTGTAAAATGGACTAGAACTTTCAAACTGGTTTTCTGCTGAGTTGTAAACACACAGTGTATGGATTTTGATTTTATTATCTATTGAAATAGAAATAAAGCTCAACAAATAAAAAACGAAGCATCTGGCATAATTAAAACCTACCATACTCACAAAGTTTAACTTGAAACTAGATTTTTAGCTTGGAATAAGCATTTTTGACTGATTCTGAGCATAAAGAGAAAATCCAGCCTTATTAGATCTAACAGCATAAAGAAAAATATTAAGTGCTGCCAACATTTTGTGGCTTAAGTAAGTTTTAATTAAAATAAATTCAAATTAAACGAAATTGTTTCACGATTTAAGAAAAACAAACTTCTAATTTGTTATCAATAATTAACTTTTTTTTATATAAGTCTATTGACACTTACAATATTTATCTAAGAATAAAAGAGATTATGTTTTCAAAGTGTGTCGGCTTCGAAAGAGCCTTTTGTTCTAACTCGGGTCTTCTGAAGAAATCTGCCAACATATTTAAGACTAAAATGAAATCAATTCAAATGAAAACATTTCCCTGCTAATCTGAAGTCGATAAAACCCAATTCGCAATTCTGAAAAGCCGCAAACGCTTCTCTTGAAACGAAATTTCTTATTATTCATAATTTTATATGTATAATATTTGATTCATGGCCTGCAAGTTTTCCTATTTTCTGCTAAAAGGGTATCAACCGTCCTTTGGTTGATTTTTGAAATTGATTACAAACTTGGTTTTGAACTTGAGAATAGCAACGATCCGATTAGTGGAGGGCTTCCTGAGTTCCACCCGTTGTTGATGTCATAACTGAGCTAAGCATTAGTTAATGCTAAACCGGCTGAGATCAGTCAAGTGCATGGGCAGCGTGTACATACTTGTATAGTACAGCATGTGGCATATAGACATATAATTAATAATAATTTATTAACACACATTTGCATGTCAGCGCCGACAACGAGGCGCTAACGAATGCCACAAAACAGGTTTCGACCAGAAGTCCGCCCCCACCGTTCCGGTGCCCCTGGCCATTGGTCATTGGCCATTGCAATCGCTTGGTCAGCATTTGCATTTTAGTGAATGAACGCATAACCAAAAATATTGTGAACCAAGCATGAATAACAAAATGCAAATGAACCAACAATACTTTTGACTCATTCGTAGCCCTCTTACCTGTGAAGGTCTCATGAATGAGCGAGTCAGTCCCACGCAAACTTAAAATCAAACCACAATCATTGACATTTACTCTTACCATATGCCAATAAGTATGAACGGAATTATTTCAAATATGGCCGTAGAAAACTAAAGACCTGCACTGTAGAATTTGTACAATCGCCGTCTCTCTAAAGTGACATCATCCGACATTCTTGTTGCATTATTATTGCAGTGCAAATATTAACATTCTTAATTATTCACTGGCCCAAATAATTCAGGAATTCTTCATAATATTCGTGTAGAGGGAAAGAAAAGAACCGCTTTTTGCTTTACTTTCAAGATAAGTTGTAGGCGATATTATTTTTATAAAGCTAAATCGAACTGCAATGTTAATCTCGTTTCTTGGAAACGAACCACTTATCTTCGCGCTTTTAAGGCGCAAGACCGGAGACTGATTGTCTGCCACTACTCAGAAATAACTACCAGGGAAGAATATTCCAAAGAAAAAATTGTACTGCCGAGATGAAAAGTGACTATTTCAAGAAGAGATAAAACCTAGAATAGCAACACTATAGCCCTAAGCTCCGACAAGGCTTGGTATGGGTTAAGATATTTGAAATGCGGGCATTAAAATAAAATAATTAAAAATAAGTTATGGGTAAGAGGTAAGTCGACTCTTACTTAGTTTGTAGTGCTAGAAGGGTTGTAGTGCTAGAAGAAGAAAATTATGTTTATAGTGGATACTGGGACTAGATACAAATGAAGCAGCTATGCTAAGGAAAAACATACAATTTCTTATGTAAAAATTCATTAAGTACAGCTTAAGCCTTTCTTCCTTCCTTCTTGTCAAATTGTTTGAGCACTTAAAATGTAAACTGCTCTGAAATAGGTATATAGTATTCAAAATAAAATTTTATGTTGTTCCTCGTCATCGAAAGAGTACGCGAAATTCGAGCCATGTTTCATTCTAATTCCCTTAATTATACTCTGTACATGAAATGTACAAGAGTATATTAGGTTTGCGGGAGCTGAAAAATGTAACAGGCAGAAGGAGGCGTGGCAGACCCCACAAAGTATATATATTCTTGATCAGCATGACGAGACGAGTCGATCTAGCCCTGTCTGTCTGTCTGTCCGTCTGTCCGTCTGTCCGTCTGTCCGTCCGTATGAACACCTGGATCTCAGAGACTATAAGAGATAGAGACACCAAATTTTGCACGAAGATGCGTTATGTGTGTATTCTATACGAGTTTGTTTTATTTTTTTGATTTTCCCCCCCACTTCCCCCCTATGGGGGTTTTCCCGATTTTCCATTCGTATAATCGCCTATATCTCGGAGACTATAAGACCTAGGAACACCAAATTTTAGTCCCAGATGCCTTATGTGAATACGCAGAAAATGTATATTTTGGAATTCCCCTCCCTCCCCCCTCTACCCCGCAAATCGTAACTCCCGTAATTCTTGGAATTTCGAACTAAAATTTTGGAAATACCCCCAGTTAGTTATTATGTGTCCGTATGCCAAATTTCATTATGATAGACCGATTTAACAAGAAGTTATAGCCATAAATATATTTGCTGATGCAGCGCTGCTGCAGCGCTGCTCAAGCGCTGCTCAAGCGCTGCCCGCGGCTGTTGTTGATGTTGCTGTTTGGTTGACTGCGAAAATGCTTACACAGACACGAATAGATGCGCATAGGCATACATACACTCACACAGACGCAATTGCTATGTAAATGTGCAATTATACACCCTTTACGTGAGTTCGAATACCGAGAGAGGTAAAATCGATCAAATTTTTTTTTTTATTTTCTTAATTTTTTTTATTTTCTATAATTATTGTAAACATATGTACAGAGTATTTCAAAGTCGGGACACCCGACTTTAGCTTTTTTACTTGTTTTTAATTTAATTTTTTTTTTCTAAGATTTCTTTCATTGTGTCTTCTAAAAGGTAGAATTTATGTTTCGCATAAACTCTTATGTTTCTAATCGAATGTTGTTTTCTACAATCTGAAGAGCATTCTTCAATGTGTCCAAAGAACCATCCATAATTTCTATGTATTTATTTATTGATTATGATTGATGATAACTCATAGATTTATATTAAAAAGAAAAGTCTTAACTTTGAAGGGCTGTCTACAGTTCCGGTATTCCTACAAACAGACTGCCAGCTGAAACCTATTTTGTTGCCCTTCCATCTTTTAGAAACAGGGCGTGAAGAATATTCCAAGTGGTCCGAGTCAAGATCACCTCCACATCTGATACAGATACAGATACTGTACATATATGTGGTACATATTATATACTCGTAGGTATTTCTGTGTGTACGAGTATGTAATCCACAGACAATGCTCGTCCACAGTGCTTGTCGTTCCAATTGGCGCAGCGAATTTGTTGTTGTTGTTGCTGTTTGCGCAATTTTTCAAAATTTAAATTGGGCCCAGCGACCGCACGCGTCAGTGTGCAATGAACCAGAGAAGAGGCGGCAGAGCAGCAACAGACACAACAACAGAAACAACAACAACACTAAAAATAAATTTACATACGTTGCGTAT